TCTGCACCTCGAGGTTCACAAAGTGCTGCGCCTGCCACGAATTCTGCACATGGAGGTTCGAAGTGCTGCGCCTGCCACGTAGACTGGAGCTAGAGCTATTGAAACTAGAGCTAACTGGAGCTAGAGCTATTGAAACTAGAGCTACCTGGAGCTAGAACTCTTGAAACTAGAGCTAACTGGATGGTGCATGATAAGTGGTGTATGATGAGTGGTGTATGATGTGGTGTATAATGAGTGGTGTATGATGAGTGGTGTATGGGGAGTGGTGTATGATAAGTGGTGTATGATGAGCGGTGTATGATGAGTGGTGTATGGTGAGTGGTGTCTGATGCGTGGTGTATGATGAGTCGTGTATGATGAGTGGTGTCTGAGGAGTGGTGTATGATGAGTGGTGTATGATAAGTGGTGTATGATGAGTGGTGTATGATGAGTGGTGTCTGATGAGTGGTGTATGATGAGTGGTGTATGACGAGTTCAATGTCCGTAACACGGAAGTTTTGCACACTAAACTTCCTTTGACAAACACAGCTACAAAGACACAATCACAAACACGTAGCCACAAACACAGCTACAAACACACAGCCACAAACACGCAACAAAAACACACAACCACAAACACAATCAGAAACACACAACTACAAACACGACTACAAAGACACAAACACAAACACACAACCACAAACACAACCACAAACACACAACCACAAGCACACAACTGGAAACACACAATCACAAACGCAACCACAAACACACAACCACAAACACACAACCGCAAACACACAACCACAAACACACAACCAAACACAACCAGAGACACACAACCACAAACACACAATCACAAACGCAAACAGAACCACACAATCACAAACACAATCACAAACACACAACTACAAACACAACTACAAAGACACAATCACAAACACATAGCCACAAACACACAACCCCACAAACGCAACCAGAAACACACAACCGCAAACGCACAGCCACATCACAACCAGAAACACAGAATCACAAACGCAACCAGAACCACACAACCACAAACACAACCACAATCACACAGACACAAACACACAACGACAAACACACAACCACAAACAAACAACCACAAACACACAAACACAAACGCACTTCCACAAACACACAACCACAAACACAACCGCAAACACACAACCACAAACACAACACCACAAACACACACCTACAAACACGCAACCACAAACACACAACCACAAACATGCAAACGCAAATACACAACCACAAACACGCAACCGCGAATACACAACCACAAACACACAACCACGGAAGCACAACCACAAAAACACAACCACAAATTGACGCACAACCACAAACACAACGCCACAACCACAACCACAAACGCAACAACAAACACAGCCACAAACACAACCACAAACACACAACCACAGCGCACAACCACGACCACAACTACAAACACACCCACAAACACAACCACAAACACAACCGCAAACACACAACCACAAACACGCAACCGCAAACGCAACCACAAACATGCAGCCACAAACACAACACCACAAACACACGACCACAAACGCGCAAGAAACCACAAACACAACCAGAAACACACAACCACCAACACAACCACAAACAGCCACAAACACACAGCCACAAACACACAACCACGATCGCAATCACAAAGACACAACCACAAACACACAACCACAAACACAACCACAAACACACGACCACAAACACAACACCACAAACACACAACGACAAACACACAACCACGAGCACAACCACAAGCACACAACCACAAACACAACCACAAACACACAATCACAGACACACAACCACAAACACAACCACAAACACAACACCACAAACACACACAACCACACACAATCACAACGCAACCACAGCACACAACCGGAGGACCCATGCAAAATCGAGAACCACCAAGCTCACTATAGTGTGGGAGCAATCAGTTCGAAGATGTGCCAGAGTGATTGGGGCCGGATGCAATTCCATATCTGTTGGCGCAGCTGTTTGCAAAGAGGCTTGAAGCAACATCCTACAGCAAGTAAAGTACATAGAAACTACTCCTACTACTACTTCTACCACCACCACCACAACTACTACTACTACGACGACGACTACTACTACTACTCGGGCCCCGGGAGCTTCCAAGTTTCGGGCCCCGAAGCTCGGGCCCCGAACTCCGCACTACTATTGCTACTACTACCACATTACTACTACTATTTCTACTACTACTACTACTACTACTACTACTACTCTTCTACTACTCTTCTTCTTCTACTACTACTACTACTCTACTACT